TCAAGTGCAAAGGCAAGAAAAGGGGCTTCCCAGCCCTCCCTTCTCTGCTCTCCCTCAGCTCCCAGCCCCGAGGACCTGCCCAAGGCATGCTGTTACTAGGGCCCAGGATGGCTGGGTTCCCAGCAGTGGGGGGTTTGGCTGCAAAGAACGAATGTATGAGTGCCAGCAGTTGTAAGGAAAGGACATTTCCAGGGGCTCAGGAAGGCGGCTGCCTCAGGCTCTGGGAGATGCCTGAAATTTGCACAAACCAGAGGGGTCAGAGACCATAGGGGTGCAATTACACCTTGATGTGGGCACCACCCCCTGCACAGCTGTCCTCTCCACTTGAACCCCAAATCAGGAAGAAGTGCCTTTCTCCCTCCACCCCACCAGCCCGAACCCTTTCATATTTTATTCAAGTACTTTTTAATGGCTTTAATCAGAAATTTGTTTCTGTGTAAAGAAGGGCTTTTTCCTCACATGGCAAAACTACTGTACTTTAGACACAAAACTTCCAGTTTCTAGACTGAGGGCTCACTGCTGCAATCTCACTTTGCGTAACACACTAGTTTAGATTCTTGAGACGCCGGAGCAGCTGAGACTTCCACAGCCCTGCTGGCCTCGGATAGGAAACTGTTAACCAGAACCAGATTCTCAAGCCAAGGAGCTCCACTGTTCTGCCAAACCCTAAGGTCTCTGAAGATGGCACTTGAGTGGAGACAAGTCCCCCAGGCCAACATGACCACAGCAGAGGAAGGGTGAGGCCCAACCCTCAGAACTGGTCATGACTGCCTTCCAGTGTCCACACAGGGCCAGACTATTCCTGCCACAAGGTCTGCCTTTGTCCCTTGTCTCGTGGTGCAGGGAGCGCCCTTGGCCCACCTCTCAGGGGAAGCGTTAGCTCTGGATGAGCTCATCCTTCCTCAGGGCGCCAAGTGGCATGTCTCAGTCCTCATCCCGGCTACTCTGACCGGGCTCCCCTGTGGGCACTTCTACTGCATCCAGCGGCAGATGCCTGTAGGGTCAAACATATCTCACTCCAAACTTTTGTGCTCCAGTGCACTTCTCTGGTTTCCAATCTCAGTGACCTCACCAAAATTATTCCAGTCAGTCAGTGCAGAATCTACCCACATCCTCAAAAATACCCGATTCTTTTCTACTCCATTGCTGCTCTCCTGGTTAAGGCTCTTCACATCTCTCGCAAAATTGGAACTTACTTGTAATGAGTCCCACTTCCCTCTTCTCAACTTATCCTTCAAACTACCTCCAATGTCTGATGGGACCACTTCTATGATGAGGAATCCTGAGGGTCCCCAACAACCTGCAGAGGAAAGTCCCAACTCCTTTAAATGGCATTCAAGTCCTTTCATTGTTTTTAATCTCAATTCCCCTAGACCTCCACCACTTCATCACAGCATTACATCAGCACTTTTCTTCCTATTGCACCCACCTGGGTGTGTAACACCTGCCAATCCTTCAGCAGGGTTCTGACTGCCCACTGAAATCGCTCCTTAGCCTCTGGCCCTGTGCTGTCCACTGTCATCACCATTGGCATGTGTGGCTAAGTGCAGGTACAGTTCAGGTAGACATGACGGTTAAGTGTATAATGTACACTGGCTTGAAAAGACACAATACTTCAAAAAACTTCCCTATTTCTACTGGACAGAGTGGTTCCAGATAGTCTCTATTTTCATGCGTCTTCTTTTATACCTTATACCTGCTTTTATCCAGGCCACTGGTAATTGGAAATAACTACTATGGGCCAAGCACATGTGCACACTGGAGATCTAGATCAATTAAAACAAGGTCCCTCAACTCAAGTTGCTCAGTCTGGGGAAGAACTTATATTCTAGTCGTGGTTAATGTATTATACAAGTCTACACAACTGTGCTTCATGTTGAAGCGAAGAATAAATGATCAAGTACTAACTGCCTCTCTTTCACTTCTCCTGCTCTCAGGTTCTCCCAAAGATGACATCACATGTGGTAAATGAGATTGATAACATATTGCGCAACAAGCCCTACAGCAAAAAGGACTACAGGTCCTAAGGCGCTGCATGAGCCCTGGAGCTGCATGGTAACATAGTGGTATTACCGGCACAGAAGGGTGTCGCTAGCCAGTCCTTGAATCACTTAGCAGCCTGCTGCTCAACCTCTAGTGTCCCTGGATTCTGAGGTGTCTGCTGTCGCTACCACTGTGCATCTGAATTATGAGCACATCAGGAAACTCACAACCAGGAAAATCCATTCTATTTTCTTATCTTGGACTGGAGTCACCTGTTCTTGCATTGCTCTGTGCACCTCATGCTTATGCATTGGAGAGTATATAGGGGTGAAGATGCATTACCTTCAGTCATTTAGTATCTTAAAGAAGGCTGTGAGATATATTTTTTCAAGTGAACAAGATCCACAAGGGCGATGTGGACTGAACCAGAAAGAGCGCGCCATCTTAATGCAGAAGTCTGGCTTGGAGAATAAGCAGAAAAATTTTATTTTTTTTTTCTATTCTCACATTCATATTAGCAAGAGTTGTTTCATTTATTTAATAAACCAAAATCCCTAGGTTTTTGCTTTAAAATATTCACTGTAGCTTGGCCCCAAGAATGGCCCTATATAGCAATTAATTCAAGGCATCTACTAGAACTCTTAATGCTGCTATGCCCATTTGTATGGAGAGATAGTAAGAATGAATACACCAATCTTTGGTTATGAAAGGGAGGATTACACTGCTATGGAAACTGCTTGGAATAAAATGTACCTGCAATGAAGTGTTCATTTTTCACTACATTTTATGAAAACCTGCTTAATACTTTTGACTGCTTGTGCTTGTAGACATAGCTTCTGCAAGTTTAAATATTTGAGCTTTAAAAATAAATATACATATGCTCAGTTTTCTAAGTCAACCTGTAAAATACCCAGAAAGGCAAATGTTTGCTGTTTAATTAGCACTGGGATTTTACAATATAATGCCTGGTATTTTTGAGGAGTTATTAACATGAAAGTGAATCATGGGTTTTGTGAAAAAATGCTGTCACTACTCAATATATGCTGGGTGAATTAACTAGCCCTATGAAAAGCAAATGTTACAGAACTTCCTGATCCTATAATCACATTATGTACACTAACCTATATGCATGAAAGCTCTCTGCATGGATTAAAGGGGCCTAGCCTTGCTACACTCAGAAGCCATCTAGTCCTGCCAGTCTTGGCTATCCCCCCTCCCTGTCCCAATGAATATTCTTATTCCACTTTAAAAAATTCTAAGAACATACTGTGTGTGTACCTTAAAAAGGGAGAAAAATGTTAGTTTTCTGTTTAGGGGTATGTGGGGAGGGAGGAGGCTGGTCCTAGATTTCTATTCAGATACCAGAGCATGTACAAAAATTTAATTTTTTGACCAGCATATCTCTTACTTAGAAATCACCTTGAGACTTACAGAAGAAATACATTATCTGCTTAAAATATTCTTTTCTGCCATCATTTCCAGGTGTGTATTTCATGTTTAAGTTCTAAATCTTAAAATGGTATTGTGGAAAAAGTTAACAACTTTATGATTACCACTACCTGTATTTTAATAGGAGAAAGTGGGAGTTGTCACCAAGAGCATGATAATCATTTCATGATTCACTTTCATGAAATGAAAATTGGTGGAAATGATGGAAAATTTTCAGTTGTTCATTGTGTATTCAATCAACCCAGTGAACTACTGTGTAGAAATGAGCTAATGTTGTCTACTTGGAACTGTAATTTACCTTATTTATTTGCTTAGAGTAATAAAAGCATTTTGTGCATTTAATCTCACAAGATTTATGTGCTTGTTCATTATATGTATTCAGCTACATAAAACAGGCAATAAGCATGTAATTATCCATACAGGTAAGCTGCACTGAATGGTGTCTAACAGAAACAGTGTTAAAGTAGAATTCAATTTTTTTTCTTACTAGTGCAGAAAATAATAAGCTGTGATTTATTTTTACCTGGTTTTATAAATACTCTTGTACTAAGGTTATTCTCAAACTCAAAGAATGTGCAAATTAAAACCACGTACAAACATTATTGCTTAGCTGAGGAAATGAGGGAAGGTAAATATACTAGATAAGAAGTTCTGGCCTAAAGAAACCTTTCAATTCACTCATTTCTTTTCTGGAAAGAATTCCTTGGCAGAGATACCATTCCAAAAGGTAACCTGGGAAGAACCATCCACTCACTGAAATCCTGGCCGGGGAAATCAAACCCAGTCCTGCAGCTGGCTTCCTGTTTCAAGAATTTCCTGCGCATCGTCATCAACAATGTGCCCAGTCATCATGATGTCTAAGCTCCAGGGGACCTTAGACATCTTCCAAGTGACCCTCTTTGGCAGATGTAGAAACCAGGCCTGAAGAGATGATGGAATTTGAGCAAATTCAACTGCCAGTTAATGACAGAACCAGGCCTAGATCCAACTATTTTGTGTCCAATTCAGTGCTCTTTTAAAAATGATTTTTTTTTCCTCTAGCTTTCAGGGTTCACACAGTAATTATATGTGTGAATTTTAAATTACAAAAGTTTTGCTGTGATCCAAATTCAGGATCAATTAAGGTAAGGGAAAGGTCAGAAGAGAGGAGTGACAATCCAATGAGAAGTGTCTCTCCACCTCCCAAAAAATCTAAACCAACCACCCAGAAGATCCTCCTCAGCAGAGGAGGAATACAAGGTGGGAGAGACCCCTCACAGCCCTGACCGGCACATCCACCTCTTTACAAACAAGTCTTTTTTCCCCGCCCTTCCCGGCTTTAGAAGCAGCAGTGACTGGCATACCTATTGCAAACACATCCTGCCTGGGTTGGCAAGATGGCACAGCAGGCATGTGTTGACAGCAGCTCTGTAACACAACTGCGCTGTGCCCGCCACCGCCACACACACATGCAATCGGTGAACTTCAGAAATGCACTCAGGTGTGTGAGAAGTGAGAGCCGTGGTGATATGAAATGAAGTAACAAAGATTTATTCACATGTTTCTTATAAAGAAGTCTAGAGTAAACACAGATTTTAAAAAGCAAAGTTTAATAATAATAAGCAAGACGTTCACAAGACGTTTGGGTATGAATTCAACTTCCATATTTCAGTTAGCTTCAACTCTTGGTTCAAATAACATACCAAATAGGACAAGTAGTAAAATTTTACTGGCCAAGAATAATTTCAACCCAACAACTTTATTACATTGTAAATGAAGAAACTAAAAATAGGGAAATACAATGCTTCAAGCCTCCTCTTTTGACAAGGAATATGCAAAAGAAACTTCACTTTGAATACCAATTGCAGAACCCTTTTTATTTTACTGTTGTTGGACATGGGGTCTCCTTAAGGTGACACTTACAGCAGGCTTTTACTACCTAACCAGATTCAGCATGTCATACTTCTATGTGCCACACAGCCATATCAGGTGGGGAAAGAGTTCGATTCCCAAGAGGATAACAGTGAATCCTTAATGAAAACTGCGAACTGTCAGTGCACATGCCTTATGTTCACGCCCAGAAATTTATCTAACAGTGCAGAAAATCTAAACCAGAATCATGATTATAATCTAAAAATGCTCTAGGAAAAATTTAGGATTAAAGGCAAATTTTGCTTCCTTGCTTTTCCACAGATTTAGCTTATTAAGTCACAAGACTTTCTACTAAGCATATTGAGCAGATGCCCCTGTTGAACACCCCATTGTAAGAAGCATGTGGCATTTCTCCCCATCTATCCAGCAATGCCATCTAGTGGCAATTTTTAAATCTCCAATCTATAGACTTGCTCCAGCCCTCTAAAAACAGCTGACACCAGTGGTTTGTCCAACAAGCAAATGCATGTGGTGCACTAACTCCATGTTGCCAAACGTTTAGTAACCACTTATTCATCAACAGGAAAAAAAGTTAAAACAGTAATAAAAGCCAACCTTTCACGAGTTACATACACTAACTAGCCGAGTCTCTTCAGATTCCCTATCAGTCCACACTACCCGTGAGGGCATGTAGAGCAAGGCGTCAAAGGCCTGCCAACTTGTAAAAGCAATAACCAGTCCTCAGCTGAAGACGCTGCTGACCTGGTCGTGGTCATCATCCAAGTGTCCTCCCTCCTCCCCAAGTACTGAAAATCCAACAGCATGGAAGTGGAAGACCAACTCCTGGCGAATACCTTTCTATAGTGATAAGCTAAAAAGTAGAGATTATTTGCAATATTTACCTTAAACTTGGAAACTGAATGTTAAAGTTACTATTCCCTTTGAGCCACTTACTGCTTTTAGGAAAGTACTGGATGTGGGCAGAAACTTACAGGAAACCAAAACCAGTGTGACTATAATTCTGTAGTTTGTTTAAGTGAGACAGGTTAAAAGTGGAGCATCACAAACTTTTTCAAACCGTGGCACACAGAAAATGACATGTGAACACTTAACAACTAAAAAAATAGGAGACTACTCTTAGACACCCCCCCCCCAGGAATAGAGACATTTAATATTCTGTTTAGAATTGATAGGGTTCTATGGACCAAAAGTTCAAATTTAGAAATCTGTGGACTAAAGGGTTAAATGTAAGACCATCCTAATGGAAAATGCTGACAAGCACTAAAATAACTAATTCCTTGGAATTCTAAGAATTTGGGACCTAAATATCACTTTGGTCTTTTACATATCAATACACAGGAAAAAGGTCTCCCCCTAACTTCCTCCAAGCTACAGTCAGACCCTCAGACCCTCAAAGAGAAAAAGAATGCACCTAGTCTCCTAACAGGTGAAACCAACACGTTAGGGTCAAGCTGACTTCTCTGGCCACACAGTGTCAAAGCTATACAGTGAACATTGTGTGCTTTAACCCCACAGGACAACTCTGGGCACTATTTTTAGGTTACTGGCTTGGCTGCCTTTCTTCTTTGAGGGAAAAAAAAAACACTTTTCCACAAGTTTCACTTTCCCAAGATGGACAAGCCATGTTTTCAACTGTTATTTCAAATCACAAATCCATAGTCTTGCAAACATGAGGCTTCTATTCTCTCTCTGAGACAGGACTTATTCTGATACTTGTAAGGCTCCAAAGAAGTTGTAATATTGTAGTTGGAACAGAGAGAACCAGTTATTAACTTCTTGCAACTGTAATAAATAATAACAGCTCAGTCCAGGTTACTGTGACCTCTGACAGATGAAGGAAACAAGTTATTTTCTTTTATGATTATAGCACATTGCAAGACACTCTGCCTTTTAATAAATGTTCTGGTACTCTGAGTTTCCCATTCATTCATTTAATTTCAACAATCTGTCAAAAAGAGCCAACAAACACATATTGAATTACATCTTGCTGGGGTTTTTTAAACCCTCAAATTCCAGACTATAAAAGCATCTTGTGTGTTTCCCACCCTGACCGACCACCCTGCTACTTTTACATATACCTCAGGCCACCCAGAGCTACAAAGCCAGGGAGTGAGGCTGAAATGGTCTACTTGGAGCCAGTTGACAGGAGGGCGATGAGACCTGATGAAGCACTTATGGACAAAATATAATTCCTGTTAAGAATTTAATGTTAAGGAAAAACTAAGAACCCAAATTAGTTTTTCGACCTATCAAAAAGAACCCATCTCTTCGGAATATACTCTCTCCCTCCCGGCACGCTATGACAATGGTAGATGGTCATTGTCTACAAACACAATTTACGAGAGAAGACAGTAAGGAATGAAAAACATTCACAGGAAATATATTCCCCATTTTAAGAAGAAAACATTTGAAACATAAACCTAGACCACATGACCACAAAAAGCACATCTGAATCTCACTTATTTTCAGGAGTACTGATTAGAGAATATGAGAAGGAAGAAGAGACTTATGTGTCTTGTTGCCAACCCTTCCCCTCTCCACACCCCCTTAGCAGGAAGGGAAAAGCACGGATGTTTGGACAGTCTGCAGCTCAGTCCAGGGACTGGGCTGTTCAGGGCAAGCCATTCCAGGAGTCCCAGAAGATACAAGTCAGAGAATGTCTGATATTTTATTACATCATAATCTCCAAATATTAAAAGTCTGGCCATACACTCCTGGGTAACACCTCTAATAAATTACCTTAACAAGAGAAGATTGATTCTTGTTTAATAGCTCAGTTAAGAGCAACTTGAAACATTAATAAGATATTATGAAATGTGCCTATTTAGCTGCACTGACTATTCACTCAATCCAAAACTCAAAATATCAGCAGACTCCAGGGCCTATGCCAGGAGCTATAAAAGAAAGCAATTACCCCCACCGCCTTAGAATTTAAGAGTTAGATATACATAATCAACTATGACGAACTGCTCTGTAATACTTGTTACTGGTCAGGAAGTCAGAATTTATAAATTTATCAAGCCAAAGGCCCTTATTTTAAATGTACAGAAATTTGTTCAAAGTCACAGTGCTATTTAATGGACAATGCAGTTTTTCTTTCCACTAAAATACTCAACAAATCAAAATGAACTACTGTTTCTAGATTTCTAATAAAGATAATACACCTTTTAAAAGGATACACTGTGGGGTTGAAGTTCTTCAGTATAAAAAAGGAAGCCACAATGACGAGAACCAGGAAGAGAGTGTTGTTGTAGAAGATGGAAAATGTTGTCGCTTCATAATCAGCTACTTCGTTCTTCTTCCACAAGATCCTACAGGTACACACACAATCAATCCAGTTTATACACGTTTCAAAAGTGCAAACACCCCATGGCCCTAGTTCACTGTAAGCTCTCCTTAGGTCTTCAAGACAGAATGTAGCTGTAATAGTAAATTTAGTCAGAACTGTTCCCTTTTTACTGCCGATACTAGACTGATGCTAAAGAAAACAGCTGCTGGTTATGCTCCCCTCTTCCCGAGTAACAGGGCTTCAGAGGAAGAGCCCGACTAACAGCAACGGGGGTGGTTTCCTCTGCAGCCCTAACAGGCATCTTCTTCCATGGCCTCACCTACAACACACTGGGTCCTCAACTGCACAAAACTTCCTGACAGTTCAACTTTCTGGCTGGCAACTCTCTACAGACTATCAGGATTTTAGCCTTCAAAACTATAATCCAGAGATAAAAATTAGTTGTGGGGTCAAAATAGTAGAATTCTGCTTGGTCATTCTTAACTTTGTAAAAACCCACTTGTTTTTTTGTTGGTCATGGTATTTCATCTCTTGAATTTCAACTTTTTCATTTATTTAATCATCAAACTTTGATTCATTCTTTCATGCAAGCAACATGAAGTTCCAGATATCTACACATAAGAGACACTTAACTTCTCTTGGTTAATTAAAAGCAGTTTTTAAAAAGGTTAAGTTGTGACCTATTAGTGAGATGTGAAATCAACTAAGTGAAACAAATGCTCAAGCATTAATAACCAAGGGAGTGAGACCAGCATTTTGAAAAAAATTATGTAGGGCGGGTGTCCCTGGAGGTGCTGGGGTTAAGTCTCAGGGCTATCAAACTATCACCAGCCACTGTGGGCACAAGTTCGATCCCCAACCAGGGAGCTGACGCACATGGTGCAGCTGATCTCCCCTGTCTTGCTCGCTGCTCCACTCAGCAGTGTATTTCAGTCAATCTACTTGTTCTATTCCCCACTCTGTCTCTAGTGAATCTTCTTACCCCCCTGCACCTTGCCTGCACCCCCATTCCTTTGATTTATTCATTTATGCATACAGAGCTGGGGTATAGGCAGAGGTGCAGAAGCAGTGAGAGGACTCACCAGAGACAGAATGGGGAGCACAATAGGCTGACTGATGAAACACACTGCTGAAGGGAACAGCGGGCAGGTCAGGAGAGGTCCGCCACGCCATGTGGGTCAGCTCTGGGCAGGGGATTGAACTCTCACTGAAGCAGCTGCGGCCAATTTGCAGTGCTGCGTTCTTACCTGTTGCACCACTGGGGAGGGCCTCACTCCCTATTCTAACTCTGACTTCTACTTAGGATCAAGAAACAAACCGACAAGTCTGCAGTGGGAAGGAGGACCATTTGTCATTTTTCATATAAGTAATCACCTGAAACCCGTAAGAGTTACAACAACCTTTTGGGAATCTGTGTTAACGATAAGCACTTCATACTAAAACCACCACACAAGTGACCGTCACAATTCAATAAAAAGGTTAAAAGTATTCTGGATTCTCTAAGCTCTATCCCTGTGCACAATTTGCAACCAGAACACTATGCAGTCAGACCTCCTTATAGCTACTCTGTGAAAAAAGACCTTCATTGCTATAATTTAATAGTGTGCCTTCAGTTCTACAAAGGATCCATAGGAGATAACCACTGAAATTATGTTTTGATGTCCTTCCAAAACCACCCTAGAAGACATTGTTCATTAAGTTACTCAATGTCCCTTAAATAAGGATCCACTTGATAAAGTCCTTCCAAGATTCAGTGCCAGGAAAGTTTCCTTTCAGAAGGACTTACATGCTGCTTCTCATCAGACAATGAAAGCTGTATGACCTCAGATGCTTCCCTTTTACTTGGAAGCTCAGTCTAAGTTTAATGCACAACTGATTAAAACGAACTCTGAGGCCTTTGTTCATCTACCTTTTCTTCCTTTTAATGTATTCTGATCTTTTAAAATTATGTTTTATATGAACTTAAATATTGAAAATCTCCACAAAGGTTCTAGAATAAGGTGAGATAAATATTTCATTCCACAAAGCAGCTTATAAATACTAAAACTTAAGATCCATGAAAACAGTACAACTCATGATTCTATTAAACCATCTGGCAACCTGTAAGCACAAGCTTATTCAATCATTCATAGAATTCTACTCCTCAGATGTTAGAATCTAATTCCTTCGAATATCAGTCAGCAGGAAAAAATGGGGGTGCGAGTCACTAGGAAACAAATCCAGTTCTTTTCTCTTCTCCAATCAATGTAGATAACCAAGAACTGGATGTTCCTCTGGAAGCTCCGGAACAGAAAACACCATCACCTGGAAATGCTAGAACACCACACAATGTAAACACTGCAGACCCAGAAGAGTCCAGTGAGTCACTCAAGGACAAGGCGGAAGCTCTGAGCAAAGCTCTCCAGACTCCTAGCCGCAGCAGTGCAGAAAGGCACAGGCACTGAGGCCGCACTGCCTGCTCACCAAAGCTCATATACAGCTCTGAGCAAATCGACAATGCTTTCCATACCCCAGTTTCCTTGGGTATAAAATGGAGGTAACATTATTATTCCTCTTTATAGGAATAAATAAACAGCACAAAGAAAAGTATCTGCCAATAATAAAACTCAAAGGCAATTACTAATCTTCTCATCACTACGTCTACTACGTCTTCTATAGCAACGTAATACCCACATCCTCTTAAGCAGGAATCAAGCTTTAGTTCCCATAAAACACCCCCTTTCTGATTACCAGAAACACTGTAAGTAAGGGTTCAAACCTTTCATCTTTTTCCTTCCGAGACATCTTTCTATTATCAGCTTCAGAAAGTTTTCTTGTCACTTCTTTGGAAACAGCATCCTCCCTCTTCTGTGCCACTCTGGAAGGAAAAGAAAAAATAGTTTCCACATGCTCCATGAGTGAATATCACATACTCTCAGAAACACTCTGTACTCATATTTTGTGCTGGCAATTGTATAATACTTTACATTTCAAAAAAGAAGCTGGACAGAAAGTTCCAAGTTTATTACACTGTACTAGCCAAAGAGCGGGTGCGCAAGAAACTTCCCAAGATGTGGTTTATTAGTTATATGTTTTGATTTCTGCTTAAAAGAGAGAATTTTTGGAAATTTAATATGGAAACAAAAGTCAAATGCTATTGGCACAGTTTAGCTATGAATCATTTTAACTCCATTTAGTTTTAACCTATAATTTAACTGTTCAACAAACAAATGCGATGAGACATTAACAAATGACATGATTTTAATTCCAGTAAATAACAAAAGAGAAAAGCAGGCTTAAAAAAACAAAGGGGAATTACCAGCCTTATTATCTTAATATTTTTAACTCCAGTCCAAGAGCAATTTCACTAAAAAGAGGCAATGTCACATGGACGGAAGTTCATTTACCACTTTCAGTTAGAAGAACTGCTGGTTTAAAGATATACCAATACAAGGGGTCAGCCAGAAAAAGACTTGAAGTTTTTTTCCAGATCAGAATTTTCAGTAATGAATAATTGGATAAGGAAAATTTAACCGATACTCATCAAAGAACCTACAAGATGAATTTTACCAAATAGGGTCGCTATGAAAGAGGATTAAATTTCAATTGTGATGAAACACAAAAAGACACCCAAAGATTATGACATTTCAATTCAACATAGCTTATTTTTCATTAATCGTATGGAAGAAAAATAAGACAACAAGTAAATTGTAAATGTCCTACACAGTCAGTCTCACAACGTAAATACTCATTGCAAACTTGAGAAGTAGCACAAGCAACAGGATATGAAGCACAAAAATAGAAACCTGTCCACTACTGTGCTATATTCAGTTTTGGTCAGGAAAAATGGAGAAATCTAGTGAGTTCCTGAGAAGAAAAGTCAGAGATGATTCAGGAAAAGTTTCACTCCTCTTGCAATCACAAGAGCTCCTGGGACACAAAACAAGTGCAGATTAGAGCTGGTTTTTCACTTACTTAAGAACTGAGTTAGAACTCACATTATTAAAGAGGTAAGCTATTCTCAGCAATTGCAAATTGATTATCTAGAGGAAGGAGAATCAGTTTGTCTACAAAATACAGATAAAAATCTGAAACCTAAAGAAAAAAGCAGTTAAGGAGATCGCTGCAGTCCTAAGAGAAACTTCAGGACACTACAGTGTGCTTGTTCCTTCAAAAACTCAACTTCACCTAACTCATTTCACTATGCTCACAAGGACAGACTGCACCTTTCTTGCAGTCTAGCACACATAAGTAGTTTTTGAACTTCCCTTAAGACCACTTTTTTCTAAGGCCAACTGAAAAAAATAAAAAAGAGATGGCACATAGCAGCAACTATTCTTGCTGAAGAGGGAAAAATGCATGTGTGCACACACACACACACATGCACACACACACCCTGTCAGATCTGTAGGACAAAAGATAAACTTTTCCAAGATTCAGTACTCGCTAAACTTTTAAATAGTTAATCACCTGTCCATTGGACAAATACTCCAAAAAAGACCGAACCCCAGATAACTAGGTAACTTCTAGTTCTAAAATTTTATACTTAGCTACCAATACCAGCCATCCCAGAGGTATATTACAACTTGAAAAGAAGCCCAACCATCCATAAAGACTCCTAGAAAATAAAACTCCTCAGAGCTGAATATGCTAAAACACAACAAACACCACTCCAGCAGCCCAGTACTCAGACAACTGAGATAACGCACAAAAGCAACAAACTTTTCTATTATTTTTTTACATCAGTATGACTGACCCAGAACTACTTTATTAAAATGAAATCACTTGTCATCTTTCAAAAAAATCTCTCCTCAAACTCCTCCAACGCTGCATGTAAATGTTTACTATGTGCCAGATAACAAGTTGCATGCATTAATTGTACCCCACATTTCTAGGAAGTACTAGTAGTAACCCCACTTCACAACTCAGGAATCGTACTCTAGAAAGTTAAATGTATGGCCCAAGTCTAGACATTCCAGGAGCAGAGCTGGACTGGAATTCAAACTATCGACACAGAAACCATCTTCTTTCTACAGTTAATACCTACCCACACAGAGCATTCTCTGGGTCTGTTTGAGCACTAATTTTTTTGGAAAATATTTTGGTGTCACTGACAAAATTTAATATTAAGTCAAATCAACGACAAGAAAAATTCCACTATCAGAACCTAGTCACTAAATTATTGAAATTTTATTAAACTAAATGTACTATTAACTATTGTAAGAATATAAAACTAAAGACACGATAGTTGCTCTCAAGAAGTCTAAAGTAGAAAGGAGAACATGATTTTGATTTCAAGATGAACAAAAAAATAATATGTAGGACATGTGAGAAATCCCAATTCCCAGAGGGATTGGGTTCCCAGAAGATCAGAAAGGATATGTCAGAGAGGTGCCCACTTCTGAAGGCCACAGGCAACTGGGCCTCACAAGACATTCAGGAAAAGCAGAGGCCAAGATGGGAATCCTGAAACTGCAGTTGGTAGAGAGCAGACATGGCACACAAAGTGACAAAGCCCCTGATTGCTGACCTAGGACAGGGATGCTCAACCTTAGTGACTATGCCTGCTGAGACATGGGAGAAGTCGATGCGGCCCTCTCTGGTCTCCATACAACAAATCCCATTTCACTGAGATCATCTCAACATGTTTCTAACCCGTCACCAAAATGATTCTAACATAGGGCCAGCAAAGTTAAGAAGGATTTCTCTGGAAAAACACTAAGTCTCAAAATTACAAGCAAGTAGGAATGGGAAGGAGACAATTCTAAATTGGAATTTAGAAAGACACAAGTCATGTTCAAAGGATGACATGAAGACTCTCAGGAGAAAGCCCTGTCCAGACAGGGAAAGCCAGACTAGCAGGAGGAAAATGACATGCATTCTTGGGATCTGGAAGAATTTGGTTTTATTTAAAAGAGAAAGCCATGTATAATGAGCTGTTACTAAAAAAGTGACATAATGAAATGATGGCAGATAAGGATGAGTATATGTTTTTCATTCCATAAAAAAAGGATAATGTGTGTAATCTCACACAGCCGTATGGGTTACATCAGAGAGTACCATGCTCTATACAGTGCATATCATAGAGGGCCCTAAACTAACCATGTGTGTTTAAGAGACTAAACAGAATGCTCTAGGAAGTCGAGCAAGCAAATGTCCAAACTAGAGAACTATGGCAATAAAAAGACAAGCACACTGGTACCTCTCAGATTTTAGCAAAATCTCAACTGTCTTTAAGAAAGAACATTTAAAATAAAAAGCACCAGAAGGCCTCACTGGGGAGCAGAGAAATGAGAGAAAGGCACCGCTGTCTTGAAATAAGGATGAACATGAAATCAAAATGAACATGAAAACAATCGAAAGGTACCTTTTACAATTAAACAAAAATTCCCATTTTCTTTGTAAATAAATATGCCATCCAAAATAATAAATATCACCCTATTTTCAAGAGTATAGACATATTAACCTTTAGGAAACCAGAGTATATTTGGTTACAAGTAACTAGTGCATAAATTGGTTGTAGTGAAGCCTGGGTGGTTTTCAAAGTTTATTGTTTAAATGATGGCTTATTTTACAATTATTTTATGATAATTTTCACATACTCATAAGAAAAAATATAATTAGCATTAAAAATTTCAGAGTTTTATTAAAACAACACAATTTGTTCCAGAAAGACTCCCATTTTCTATTGAAATGCTATGAATTTCCTTTTTACAAGCTTTATGATTAATGCTGGTGTTTTAAGTATTCTAACTCCACTATCAAAACCTACTTCCGCTAGCAGTATCAGAAGCACACTGCCTCTGCTTCAACTCATAATTTTTTTTGGATCATCAATGTGCCTTTCCAAAATATATAAATATATCCATAAAGACATCTCTCACCAAACCTTATGAAACCAAGACATACACAAATGGTCTTGAAGACATCTACTACATAGAAATGCAACATTTAACACGTTTTCAACTTGTGAAATATACTTACTTGTGCTTGAGAACAAATTTCACATTTTTGTAGGCAAATGCTACCAAGTAAGTGCTTACAAGGGTCATCACACTGTACAAAACAGCAGACTGAATAAGATCCATGTGCCATATTCGCCAATATAACCCTGAAAAAAGAGGGGGGAGGGGAATGGTGTTGAAGGATCAAAACAGAGTAAGACATCTCTATCCATTTACAAAGGTGCTGAATTAACTGTAGTTAAGCCTGATACGTTAGTCTGGACTAGGGAACCAACAGTGTACAGGAGATCTTCAGAAGTAAGGTAGACAATAAAAAGTTACAACCCCAAAGCTTTCCCACTTCAGAAGACTCGTAAAGCACCACCTTCCTGTTCCTAGTCCAAATGAAATTTCTGCTTCTTCTAAAATGAAAACAAACTCTGGCTAAACAAAAATCACAATTCGGCCTCAGATTCCACTCATCAGAGGACTATTAATGGACTACAGGTCACACCAAGATGCACGTGCAAGCCTTAGTTTAGAGCTGACGTGGCAGTTCTCAGGCTGCTCAGCGCGGCCCCGCAGCCAAGGGATCCACACCAAGGTAACTGCACGCGGGTGTACAGGTCAAGAGAGAAAATAAATCCGGATTCAACACCCTGCAGTAGTGTGACAGACAGGACTTTTAGATTCCGGAACCCCGAACACTAGCCAACTCGCAATTTTTTTTTTAAATCCAAACGAGAGTTCGGAAAGTATCGTAACAGGGTGATTAAAATGTTTAGGGTGATTAAAATGTTTCAACGGCAGATCGCTGGCCCTGGGCATCTATCCAGCCTCTTCCATCAATTTATGAAAAGGCTGCACATCAGTCTGCGGCGACTGAATATAAGCGAGGGTTAAAAGGAACCTGTCTCACGTAATTCATTCGTTTTTCCGAAAGCCGTACAGATACAAGCTCAAGATGTCAATTGCGTGGGGAAACAGTCGGCAGCATTATCTCCACAAGAATTAGCACCCCAAGAGTCTAAACCGGTGATCGCGCAAATACGGGCTGCGGGTCGCCCTAGCAGAACCCCCGCCCGGGCTCGCCACGTCCCCGCCACCGCCTCCCCCAGGCCCGGCCGCCGTCTCCCCACCACCCCTTTTCCGCTCACAGATCGGGATGGCCGACACGATGAAGGCGTTCCCGAAAAAGAGCGCGGTGGATTTGGCCGAGAGGTTGCGGCTGAAATCCTGTAAGAGGAGGTCCTCTTCGGATTGCTGCTTGGAACCGCCTTTGGGCGCCATGGCAGAGCCGGGAGTAGAGCCGGACGCTAAAACCTGGCGAAGCTGACGTCGTTGTCGCTCAGCCCCCGCAGCCGCCGTACCCGCGAGCGCCCCGTCAGCGTCGCGCGGAGGCGGGATCAGTGCGGGCGAGTTTCCTCGGGATTGGCCAGCCTGGCGTCGCTGCCCTACACCTACCTCCGGGATTGGACGAGTGCGCTGAACTTCCGGATTCCGGGCCAGCCCCTTGACGAGTAGTCTTCCGAGAGAAGGCGGGAATTTGTAGGTTGGCAAGACCTTTTTTATTTTGATGAACAAAACTTTATTGACATTTCGGGTCACAGCCGCTAATGGCCCCGCGCTTTCCAAGAATTTGGAATTCGAAAACCAGCCGCTCTTGTGCTCCGCGTCCGTGAACTTTCAGGAGCGTTTTGCAAGTACCCTGTATGGAAAGTTGGTACTGCTAAGTTGAGAATGGTCGTCAACCTGCATACAACCATCAAATATCAGCATTAAATATCCGCTAGAATCCCACTGATGTCTTTTTTGGAGTTCGGGGTCCGAGTTGTATAATTATCTCCACTTCACAAGTAATTATGTGGGTGAAAAACGGCGATGTGGTCTCCAAGACGTGATTTCTTTTCTATAAAGTAACTGACCACCTTTGTATAAAATAGGAGGCACTTTGGCTTTTAAGGAATTCGTGGTCTCATTGATGAAGATAATATTTAACATGTGTCAAATACATTTATAAATTGTAAATCCTTCAATACGGTATTTTCAACCGGATTTCAGATAAGGGCAGCGTCCCAAGTCATGCTAAATAAAACTAAGACAACAGATTGGCTAGACAGGCTGCCGCTGAAGCTTTGAGAATTGAATATGGGTAGGATAACAACTAGAAACCATTTTTTAAAACATCCAATTATCTGTCGCTTTCTTTAAAAAATACAAGTGAACACTCAACTCTCACTAAATGTTTGTCATTTGTACTACTGACATTTGAAAAATTATCCTCAACTTCCAGCTGCTCCATCAACAGTTGCATATCTTTTTTTGTTTGTTTTTTAATGCATTCAAGAACTGGGTATAGGCCAGAGGTGCTTGGTGAGAGGATTCACCGGAGACAACGTGGGGAGCAGAACAGGCAGATGTACTGAAATACACTGCTGAGGGGAGACAGGAGAGGTCTGCTCCTGCCCTGCCTTCTATGGGTCAGCTCCCTGGCTGGGACTAGAAGTTAGGCCATAGTGGTGATAGTTGGTTAGCCCTCAGACTTAACCCTGACACCACCAGGGAGATCCAGCACTTGTACATTTTTATCCCTCTTCTTTATCCAAATTGAAACCATCCTTCACCAACTTCCATTCTAATGAGCCTTCTGTCTTCAACTTTTTTCAATCTATTCTCTATATAAGTACCATAGTAAGTTTTTCTGAAAAAAATAAAATGCTTCATTATCTACAGTAAATATCCCCAAATGCCAGTCACTTTCATCAATTCATTACATAATATGAAAGAAAAAAGTAAGTTGGCATCTAGTGAATTTTTCATAAAATTAAAGGTATTATTTTTAAATAACTTCATTTTTAAAGTTAAAATCTCTTTCTTTATCATGTGCTGGTGGTGATGGAAGAAACTCTTATTTTCTCTTTCAACATTCTTCTCTCTCTTTTTCTACGCCAATAAATTGCACCCTTTCCACCCATTTCTGACTAAAATGTTAATTCAACACTAATTTCATTTTTTCCCTCTCCATCTATGACACATCAACAAAGCCTTTGAATCTAAAACCCTTGCTTGTTCTCTATGAACCAAGGTTATAAACTGGAAAATTCTATGAGCCAAAGAAACAGAATCATCAGTATATGTAAAAGAAAAGAGGAAGAAAATAAACAATGATAAAAATAATTATACTATGCTCTCATGGGCAGCACATACATTAACCCCCTGCCTTCAGGGAGGGGAAGATTGACTTAATTACTGAAGGATTTCGCCATTTCAAAGATTTCAGCAATCATACCCATGTGATGAAGCCTCCGTGACAGCCCTAACAATGGGATGCAGAGAGTAGGTTGGTGATCACATGGAGGAGCCCAGAGAGGACCTGGAAGCTCAGTCCCCTTCCCTCATATCTAGCCCTATGCATCGTTTCTATTGGTTTTTCCTGAGTTGTATCTATAATAATAAAGCGATAAAAGTAAGTTAAGCAATTTCCTGAGACGTGTGAACAAATCTGAGGAAGCGGTTGTGAAACCTTTGACTTACAGCTAGATGGTCAGAAGTATAATGACAAAGAGGGATTGCAATCAGGGTCTGAAGAAGTAACAAGATTGGGGGGACTGTGTCCTTACCTTGTGGAATTTGATGCTAGCGCCAGGTAAACTATCATAATTGAGGTAAATTTGTGCAACACTTTGTCAGTGTCAGAGGAAAACTGAATTGTGGGGTCTGCTCTGACCACAGAGCAGGATCTGAATCAAGTTAATAGTATTTTAGTTGCAGGATACCCAGTCAGTGTCCATCATTGAAGAAGTGAAGAAGTGTTTGGTATGCAGAAACCTTCATAGAAGTGTTCACAAGAAAATAGAAGGAAATAGTTTTTTTCCTTTTATAAACATAGTTTGTGAAGAGGAAATTTACCCCCTCTACGTTCTTCCTTGGCTGGTCATGCAATCAAATTACCATCAGACAGATTAGTAAGAGAAAAGAAAAAATTGCATATGAATGGATAATCAACACAATATAAATTCTGAAGCAAACTGGGCAAAGTGAGAGTGTAGTTCCTGGGTGAAGGAAGGAGGGTCAAGAAGTGATTCATGGAGAACAGAAGCCCTGTCATTAGATGGTTGCTCTACTGTATTGATAGTTTCTCCGGCAGTTTATTTCTGATAAAAACCCTAATTCTGGATTATTCTTCTAGGTTATTAAGTTTCTTGTGAGTTTGCAGAGCCTCAATTGACCTCAGCTTGCAAAAATCCACATGCCAAAGAGACACATCTTGGGGAAGCCTATCTGAACACCTTGGTGGTGTATCTATCACCTCAGTGAGTTAAATGTGCCAAGTATAGGATGCAGGGACATGGTGAGGTCAATATAACTGAAAACTTCACCTGCCAAAGGCAGTCCAACCAAGATAGATGAAACAAACAGAATCCATAAGTTCTTCATAGGTAAAACATATTTGAGGGTTAATCTGTCCCATAAACTCCCAGGTTTAAGGGGGCTTAAATGCATATAATACCGGGGGCTGGGGGGACCCTTTTATGTTGTTACAGTGTTTTTTCACATCATCAAGCAATTAATTCTTCTCTTGACATCAGTTTCACAAATGTAACTCAATTATCACACCATTTACCTGGAGATAGTATCAAATTCCATAGGTTAAGGACACAGTTACACAAAACTGTCCCCACTGAGATGTCAGATGCAGGCCTAGGTCACCTGCACTTTTGTCCAACCAGCTATAAAGCAAAGTTTCTAGGCCCTCCCCCCCCTCAGCCCCCCAACACACACACACACACACACACACACACACACACCACTGAGTTCAATTAACTTCCCAAAGTGAGTCAAAAAATGCAGAGAAATACATTTGCCAGTTTGCTAAGGATATGAACAGCCAGATGAAATGCTACAGAGGGTGAATTCCCCACTGGGGCTCCTATGGACTTGGGGACCAGACACACAGTTGCTGCACAGCAACCTAGAACTGCTCTGATCATCAACTTTTGGGGTTTTTATAAAGGCTTTATTACTTTGGTATGATTTATTAAATCATTGGCACTGGTGATTAACTTAGCCTCCTCCAGCCCCTCTCCCTTCTTAGGAGGTTGGAGATTAGGCTGAAATTTCCAACCCTCAGATCAGGACTGGTTTCACTGACAACTATTTCCCATCCTACCTAGAGGCTGTCCAAAATTCAGCTCACTAACATAACTAAAGACATCTTCTTTGTTCTCAAATTACTGTAATTCAAGAGTTTTAGTGACCAGGAACAGGGAGTAAAGACCAAGTATCTATTTCTTATAAATCACAGTATCACAAGTATAATGGTGGGGGGAGGGGGTAAAAAAAAGCCTACTGTTCAGGAAGAAATGTTAACTTTTTGCAAAGAATGCTGGGAATATTGATCTTGAGACCTGGTCAGGTCCTTTTCCCCACCCACCAAAAACTGCCTATGATGGGAGCTGTTTGTAAGTGCTTTTTCGTTGATTTTTTTTATATAAAGATAAGATCTTAAGAATTCTAAGTATGTACTTTCCTATAGAGTTGATTTTTAAATCAAATGAGACATCAAAACAATTAAGACAATTGAGGCATTAAGACAAGCATTTCTATTTTGAACTTAAAGCTTATACTTTTCAAGATGAATAATTGTTTTCCTTTTTAAGTAATACAGATATGACCCATGCAAATTGGAGACTGCTTCTGAAACAAAACTGTTTCTTTTGTGCCTAAGATCATTCATAAAGTCATTTCTTTAAGGAAATGATATACATCTACAGAAAATATATTATCTTAATAACCACTGACAGAGACTATAATACTTCAACTCTCAAAACTCCCCCTGGAATCTTTTAAATGTGAGACTTACCACACATGCATCATCCATGTAGCACTGCAGGGCACAATAAAAATTAAGATTTGCAGTGAAAATCAATTTTCTTTAGTTACACATTTAACCTAAGCACTATGGCAACAGAATATAAGATTAAGTAGGTCACACATTTTAACTGGAACGTCTTAGAAGATTTGTTACTCATCTTTTCAGAGTCTTTGTTGCAGAATTCTTATATTTCATACACCCCTGTCAAGGAGAGCATTGTGTGACAATGCACATAGGTACAACAACCTAGTAGGTAAAAATCTTGTATGGAATTTATTCAATTTCATTTTTCTGTGAACTAGTAGTGTTCATCTCCATGCTCATACATAGCTGAGGATGAGAATTTTGAGTAAAAGAAATAGTCTATATAAGTTAGTGTCATGTGAGGTCACAGCTCATGATTGAGATCATTTTGGGGATGATTAAAACCAGATACTGAATGGAAATAGAAAAGAGGAAGGTATGTT